ATAACTATATATCTGTATCTATATATCTATGTATATATATCTATATATCTATATATGTATTTATCTATATATCTACATTTCTTTATGTGTGTAAAGATGTATGCATATTTTTATCTCTCTCTTTATCTTAATCTTCATCTTTATCTACAATTATATCTATTCCTTTATCGTTATCCTTTTCTGTGTCTATATATCTATATCTAGATATATATCTCATAACTATTTAAAGCATTTGAGCTATTGCAGCCCCGTATACCTTCTTGTGCTTGTCTGATTTGCCGCCAGGCCTGGCTAATGACTGACTGTACACTGTACTACATTTCAGCCAATTTTAACAATTATCAGCAGAAATTGGTATGTGAACACGCAATCTATCGATCTCCGTGGCGTGACATGACGTCTGAAAGGTTGAGATGCGGCTGCCTTGTGGTATACTTAATGGCAGTGCATGAGGTGGTTGTTCTTTGCTGTTGTTATTCCTGCTGCAGTTCTTGCTGTTGTAGTTGTCAGGCCGGGCTAGGCTGGGCCAGCTGAATTGTGAACTTTGAGCTGGGTATAGTCAAGCCTTCTAACTTCGAAAAGTTAGATATTTGCCGTGTTTTGCCGTTGTTACGACTGTACAAAAAGTCGTAAGCCAGTTGATGCAATTTTCCAGTGTGAAAATTAACAAATACACACACACACCGTCAAATGAAAATGTGCGCTCGAGAATTCAATTTGTGCAAAGAAGACGGAACCTCAGTGGGCGGTAGTTGGTTGTAACGGTAAGAGGGGGAGGCAGGGAGTGGGCTGCATCGTCTGTTTACTTGAGGTTTTTTCGTTGTCGGTGTATGAGGCCCAGCCGGAAGGAAGTGCAAGCGAACAAACCGAGCGCAGCACAAATACGTCCCGCGGGGTCCGCAGGATTCGGCTGGCACGGGTACAAGAAAGTGGGTCTCAGGTGGTGTTGCCGGTTTTTGCATTGGAAAATTGGCACAAGCGGATGCGACCGACGTTTGCCAACGCGACGCAGAGCCTTACCAGCCAGCCAGACCCTACCCACATGCTAGCACTAGTATATTTATTAGGAAATTTAATTTCACATGAAAAAAGTCGAAAGCTGCATTGGCAAAAATGGTTTCCAGCCGTCCACGGGATGGAACTAATATGATAAAGCTGAGCAGCTGGCATGAAGGATGCCGCCGAAAGTGAAAGAGTAATCGCTGCAACGGCAGTTGCCCACCGTTCCACGTACGCAGAGCTAGACATACAGGTACAGATATAGACACAAATACAGATACAGATACAGACACAGATACAGATACAGATGCAGATACAGGTACAGATACAGATACAGATACGGATTCAGATACAGATACAGATACAGATACAGATACAGATACAGATACAGATACAGATACAGATACAGATACAGATACAGATACAGATACAGATACAGATACAGATACAGATACAGATACAGATACAGATACAGATACAGATACAGATACAGATACAGATACAGATACAGATACAGATACAGATACAGATACAGATACAGATACAGATACAGATACAGATACAGATACAGATACAGATACAGATACAGATACAGATACAGATACAGATACAGATACAGATACAGATACAGATACAGATACAGATACAGATACAGATACAGATACAGATACAGATACAGATACAGATACAGATACAGATACAGATACAGATACAGATACAGATACAGATACAGATACAGATACAGATACAGATACAGATACAGATACAGATACAGATACAGATACAGATACAGATACAGATACAGATACAGATACAGATACAGATACAGATACAGATACAGATACAGATACAGATACAGATACAGATACAGATACAGATACAGATACAGATACAGATACAGATACAGATACAGATACAGATACAGATACAGATACAGATACAGATACAGATACAGATACAGATACAGATACAGATACAGATACAGATACAGATACAGATACAGATACAGATACAGATAGATAGATTTGCAACCAGCTGCAGCCTGAGTGAGAGATGGAGAGAGGGAGAGAGACAAAGAGAGAGAGAGAGAGAGAGAGAGAGAGAGAGAGGGAAAGATACAGTTACGTGCTATCCGCATAGTCGCAGACCATAAGCAATCACAAATGATGGCAATCTGTTGGTATATAGCTCACCAGGCACCCCTTCCCCCGCCTGTAGCCAGCTTGCGACCCCAGGAGCAGTCGGAATATAGACAATGCTGGCCAAATTTATATTATTAATGCCTGTTTATCTACATGCGACGATGTCGCTCCCATAGATACGATGCTAACAAGCAACGTGCTGCTCAAACCAACTACAAGCCCCCAACCCCGCCCGTATCTTTTTCCCTCAACAGGAGCAGCATTGTCTGCGCTTTGCGGGTGTTGTCTTTGTCTTTGTTTACGCTGCTTTATGAGCTTCGATTAATTTCCGCGTAAACAGCGCGAGGTCGCCCACACACACACACACACACGCACACGCGCGCGCACACGCACACATATTTATAATCATATTTAGTTGGAAAACTCAACCGTAAATGCTTGAAGTGGAAATATATTTCAGCATTGGTAATTAACTCTTATCACGATGCATTCCACGCTTAAGAGTAATTCCTTTTTATACATTTTATATTATCTTTAAGCGTCTTTCTATCTTGATTCTTATGTATCAGTCTTTAATTTAAATGTTGTCTTTTATCTTATATCAAATGTTTCATTTTATGTCTATTTATTTATATTATAGACTTTATCTATAATCTCATATCTGAATCGTATGCTTCACATTCCCTTGTATCTCAAATCTTACATCATATACATATATATATTATATATTATATGCATTATCATATTTCATTTATATCGATATCCATATGTATATATATCCTTAAGTCGTTTATATATATAGTATGAAAACAACAACAAATCGTACCTCCCTATATATATATATATATCTAGCCTTATAGAACAGTGCTAACGAATAGATATATATAATCTAGTCTCGTAGAACAGTGCTAACCAAAAGAACTCGTGTGTTCAAGTTAACTGCAAAGGCCAGTCTCAGAATTTGCTAATTAAACCATTGTTTGACTAAAGTGAATTTGAATGGGACTAATACTTGCACATGGGCCATTGTCGGGGCCCTTATTTAGATAACAGCTTAAGTTAGGTATAACTGATCGCATAATACTCATAATTATTGCTGAATGCATTCCTAGTGTCTGCTGCAATACTCGTTTATGCCACTTGCATCAATAGAAACGTAAATGTTGCTCGTAAATATCTATTTACATATGTCTGTGTGTATGCATGTATGTGTATGTGTATGCACAATTATATAATCAGTTAAGTAGGCGATTACCCTCATTAAGCCAAACCACAGCAGCGCATGAATACGCGCTGCTGAGGCCACCCACACTCGGTTAATTATTCTAACTGCATATTGCGAATCATTTTACTGCCTTTCGTTGTTTTTTCTCCACTTTTTTGAGTCATTGGTTAATCATCGTTTGTTGAGCTGTGTATTTAGCAAAGTGTGTATTAGTACCGCCCCGCCCCGCCCTCGGCGACATTCGCATTCACACATTAACAATTAGTAAGCTTTATTTGCAGATAGACTCGTCGCAACGGTGCTAAAAGCTCGATAACATTCTATCATTATTAGCCCCTCATATGACATGGCACTCAGTGCAAAAAACATTCAAATAAACAGCGCAGATTAGCAGAGCACTCGACTTAAAGACACCCTGGATTTTATCTATGTTGAACATTTATATTAGTCTGATCAAATAGTTTGTTATTATATATTATTCTTATTTTCATTTTAATCATTGTTTTTATTATAATTATTTCTAATTTTATTGCTGATATTATTTATATTATTATTATGAATATAAGTAGTAGTATTGTTATTGTTATTCTTATTTTTGTTATTATTGTTAGGCGATCCCATCTGGTCTCCGAATATGTTTATAGTTATAGTTTATAATTATAAGGCTACCTCCTAACAAATGTCACATAAATTTGTCCTAGTTTACTACGCCCTTTCATACTTTTTTAACGAGAACGAAGTAAAAACGAAAACCTTTAAGAACGTAAAATAGAATTTAACAATCAAATAACTAAAAATAATAGCAAAGTAAACAGAAATACAATTTTTTGTCAAGACCGAATTGGGAATGCTCTGAGAAAACAAACCTATAACTTTAGATTAAACTTCAATAATTTAGGGGAACAAACATAATAGTTGGAGCTCAGATCGGCAGTCAGTTGAATATTATATCATGCTTTATTATCGCATTCCAAAGGAATTTACATTTAGCGCATGGAATATGTGCACATGTTTATATTATAGAGATATAAAAATGCCTAATACAAAGAACTGGCATATAGATGTGCTTGCCAAATTGAGTTATAAACTTAAATATAGCACTGAAAGCTGGCGAAAAAGAAACCAGCCAAAACATGTATATTCTGTTATGATAGCTTGTCCAAATGTGTGCGAGTTTATAATCAAATGGGCGTGGGTCTTGGCCCGCCCACTCCGCCACTGCCTTCGCTGGCCGCGGGCCAGACAGCCGGCGAGATTAAGAGATCTTGATAAACAAAACTGAGCCAATAAATAAACAAAAACATTGCAGAAAATAATGGCAAATATATATGTAAACATACGTATAAGGTGTGTATGTGAAAGCACGCGAAAAGTTCTTATCGAATGATCGATAATGAATGGGTGGCCCGCGGAGAAGGAAGTGCATTATGTGGGGCGACATAGAAAAAAGCTTCTGCTGGCAGCGGGGTCGTACGGCCGACGTGACCAGCCGCACATACGCAGTAGCTGGGCCGAAAGCTCGCTGGGGAAACCGACAGCGGCGACGTCATCAACAGCGCTGGGACTGGAGTCGTTCCCGTTGCGCGTTCCGCGTATATAAAGCGTCATGCAGGGAATGCGTCCCGCGCATATTGCAAATACGTATCTTCAACGCTGGTTCAGTCGCTCAACGTAGCCCGACGTATACGCAACATGTGGTCCAAGATTGCCATTGCCGGTGCCCTGACTGTGATGGGCGGAGTGCTCTATGTGAGCGTCGTGGATAACTTCGCGTATGTGGATCGCTCTCTGGACGTGGCCATGCCCAAGGCCAAGCGTCATGTGGAGCAGGAATAGGAGCTGCAAGCAGTAGCTGATGCAGGTGGAGTTCTGGCAGGAAGCAGGAGCAGCGGGGGTAGCGGGATTACAGTGGAAGTGAGGATGGGGGGATGAAGTGAAGTTCTTGCCAAGTGGATTGCAACTTGTGGAAAGTTACAGTATTATTATGCAACTGGTTCCGATTTGTTGATGCAACAAAATGAACTAGTTCAGCTAACCAACGAAAGATGTTGCTATGTAAGCTTGATTCTGTGCAGTTCCAAAATGAACTGCAAGCGTGAACCAGCAACAGTGAACAAGTTCTTCAACTTCAAACTTCAGACTTCGGTGCCGAGACGAACAACAGTCGCCGTCAGCGTAAATTATGTTTAATAATATTTAAATTTGTTTTCTATTCTTTTTTTTTTTAGTTTATAACTAAAACTAAGTTCCTACAGTATAAAAACATGCATGTTGTAAATAGATAATAAATGAACGTATGTTATATGAAAAAGGCAAGCGACAGCATTTGGATAAACATTTCAAAGCAAATTCAAGAGGAAATGTATGGAATATAATGTATTATTATTATTATAAATCAATATTTATAGCATATTGTTCTGTTCGTGAACTGATTTCAGAGTTCACAACTGCCTAGCCACACAGGATGTGACCTTATCTATGCGGAAACATTGCATTGCACACGCTTATCTTACATATGTTTATATATATGCCTGATTAAAGTACTTGTAGATTAGCTTTTTACGTAACAAGTGAGCAAAAAAACAATAGCTGCTGCCATCAACAATCATATTTAGCTGGGTTTTCAAAACTCATTTAGGCCAAAACGGGCTCAGCCACAACTTGCCGGGCTCCACAGCTCGCACGCCCTCTCGAAGGGAGCAAAATCTGTGGGCGCACTAAAAATGACTGGCAAGCCGCAAATACTTTGTCAGGATCAAGTTGACACTCGTTTGGTCGTTGGTTATGGCCCGGCCATAAGCCCCGACCCTGTCCGACTGACTGTTGACGCTTGACGCTTGACGGTTGCAGGTCGCAGGGCCCCTCCCTCCATCTCCGCCACCAGCACCAAAAAACTGCGAGCTATAGGATGGCGTTCGCATTTGACACTCTTTTTTGTCACACAAATGGACACAAATACAAATACACATACACACGCACACACACACACACACGTGGAAGTGTACCCATAGGCCGGGCGAGCTTTGGTCTTGTCATGCGAGTGCGGCGGCAGTTTGGCAGAACAGATTGTTGAAGATTTGATTTTGGGCAGCTACCCAGTGGCCGGGACAATCGTTAATCTAATGAAAGATGACGTCCACTGTGCGAGGGGCAACAAAATTTGAGTTGTCCAGCTTCCAGCGCCCAGCTCCCAGGCCCCAGTCTCACGCAGACCCCAGAGTTCGATGCAGATACTTCACCCGCTTTGGTCAGCGGCTGTTTGCCAATCATTCATCATTCCTGGCTGGCTTTGGGCACTGATAAATAAGCGGCAAGTAAAGCAACTAACTATAGACGGGCGTCACTGACTAACAGATACACTGCACCCAACTTCAAGTTGCATTTGCAAATATTACCAAATCCTTCTGTGCATAGAAAATAACGCTTGTTCTTCTTCTTGCCTCTAACCTATACATTAATGCAGAGTATATCAAGGCAGCTTAAAGTATGCGTAGAAGTGGGCGTGCCTGTGACTAGGCAGGAACTCGGTTGCATTAATAGTTAGCTAGCTGGAGGAACATTTGGGCAGCTCACTTGCTGCTCCTCTTATCTGGCACCTGGTCAAAGTTCAATCGGTCGTCTCGTGTCGGCTTACCGGAGCCCCCACAAGCTCCCAGAAATACTCACAAATTTTCACAAATTTGCAGCTTTACGGGTCCTTTCGAGCTGTCACGCCCCCTGTACGGCCACTTGTCGCGAGCGGGCCAATAAAATTTGATTAGCCTCGGCCGCAGCGGCAAATCCTTTAGGTCTCAAGATTCCAGCTGGCCAAAGGGGCCGCAGCAATATGAGAATTTATGTATGTTTGCCCCACAGTTTCAGCATCGGCCTCAGATTTGCTGCCCACTTACCCCTCCCCGCCCCAGCCTCCACCGATACTCACAGTACGGACAGAGGTTGGGCGAGAGCGAGACAGCAGATGACTATTGTATATTCATGGGCCAGTCAGCAACTTGGCCAGGATGGCCAGAAAACCGAAACGTGGCCCGAGGCCGAGCCGGCCAACTTGGGTTAATTTACATTATAAACTTTGAATATTTTATTGTTTGTCTAGGAAAGGACACAGCTGGCGGCAGACCAGATCGTGAGTGCTGCCGGCTCTGGCTCTGTGCCTGTGCATGGGCGTGGGCGAGGGCGGGGTGGGGCATGAGATGCGACCAGGCTGGTGGCGCTGCGGCTTCAACTCCCAGCCAAGAACACATTTATTGACACTTGGCGATACACACAAAGCGTGGCCAGTCGCCTGCTGAACTGGACAAGCTCCACACGCGGCTGTGGTCAGGGCGTCGAGACGTAGCCAGAATGTCCTTCTACCGATTTAATGACGGCATAAGCATTTTTGTCCAAGTTATGAGACAGCTGTCGCTGCCCAAATGTTACACCTACCACCTACCACATACCACCTGCCGCCCTCCCCCTGCCAAGCTTCGGTTCCCGCCTCGGCGTTGTCATCATCAGCATTAACAGGGACATTGAGAGCGATGCTTGTTAAGCTTTTAAGCATCGGTTTACTAAATAATTAAACTATTGCTCGTTGCTCGTAAACCAAATCAACCACAGTTTTCTGCAGCAGCTCGGGCAGGGCGTCCAACTGAATACACCGCCCTCACAGGTGGTGGCGACAGGAGTGTGTGTGTGTGTGGGGGGTGGGGGGGGGGGTGGCTTGGTCTAGACAGATGGACAATGAAAATTGGAAATGTAAATGGATATGAAAATGGAGCTGCTAATCGATAGCTCTTTACTTATCTGCTGTTAACTTATCTCCCTATTGAGCCATACGCTAAATGAAGCGAAAGCAGAGGCTACACGACTGAGAAACACTCGTTTATTTTTAGTTGAACAAATGTAACTTTAAATTAGTTAATATCTGAGTTTTAATATCGAAAATAGCAGAAAAATCACAAGTTTAAAGCAGGGTATCTCTTAGTTCAGCACTCTTGACTCTTGACTAAGATAGTTTGCTATGTTTTGGTGTGCTCTTATAAATTAACTGCGAATTTTTGGATCACCCTAATAACTTAGCAAACTATCGAGTAGTAATGATAACGATAGTTAGGTATACGATATTTGTAGTGTTGCGAAACTATCGACACTTTGGGTTTCGTCACAGTCCACAATGTTTCACTGCCTCTGTGATATTTAGAACTGATAATACAATTTAAAAAATATTATAATATGCTGGAAGAAATTACCGGGCGTCGTCCGGCTCAACAAACGCACAAACTTTAATTTTTAGCACATGTGTACTTGACTTTTTAAACTCATGATGCTCCGTTCTGATTGGGTAAAAGAATACCAACATATTTGTATATTTATTTGTATTTATTTGGACATATCTCTAAGGATATTATTGCAGCACTAACTGACTTTTATGCTAACCTGTTTGAATAATTTTTAAGCCATTGGCCTCGTTCTTGTGTTGTGTTTATCCAATTTCAACTGCTTGCCCTCAACCTGCTTCATTTTGGGAACCGTTTAGATGCGGGAGCTTTTCCCCGGCCACTTAGCTAGGTGCAAATTCTATTTTATTCGTTTCATACGTTTATTTGGCCACTCGCAGTCGCTGTCGACGTCAACGTCGCTGTCGCTGTTTGCGGCACGTTTGATGAAAATTTCGTGTGGCAATAAGATGTAACACCCTTTCGCCTATAAGTACAGGGATTCCCCCGAGTTGGAAGACTGAGTAATAAAAATACGAGACAATTTAAGCTGCCATTTGCTGTTGTTGCTCTCCCACACACCCGCTCTTTCCCTCTCACTCACGCTCTCTCTTTGTCTCTCTCGTTGGGTGCTTTAATCCCAGCAACACGCGACGCACGTGACCCAAGCAAGAACAAGGTAAACCACGGCGAACATTATTTTGCCTAGCACCTTACCAGCATTGGCGTGTTACCTTACCTTACCACGCACCTGACCAAATAAATAATTTATAAATGTTTGTTATGCAAAGATTAGCAAAGGATTTCGACGCCTTTTCTTTCAACTGTCTCCGCTGAGCTGCACCATTTAAGAAACTCTTCGCTCACCCCCTCGCCCTTGTCCAACTAGGGCAGGAGAAAACTCATTTAGGGAAAATTCTTTTTTATCGCCAGCGTCGCCATCGAAATTAGCCATGGGTAAAGCGACATGGAATGGTCGGATGCATAGAATTCTCGCATAATAAATTATGATGCAAATCCGCGCTTAAGATCACAACAACAGAAGTGGAAAAACAAGGCACTTTACCGCCTCCACCCCAGCACACACTTGGCTGGGCCGACTTTTTTCCGCGTGTTTTTTGTGCAATTTTTCGTTGCTCGACGGCCGCCATTTAAAATGATAAAAATCGCAAACAATTTTTGCCCGGACCGCAGTCGACAATGACAAAATGCCGGCGCACACACACAGAGAATAGTGTATGTGTGTGTGTGTGAATTATGTGGCGGACAGTTTTTGGCGTTTCTGCGTTTGACTATAGCCAACGAAATACTTAAGCAGGCAATTTGTAACGCTTTGCACTCACCAATCAATCAATCGACAGATAACACAAAGATACTCCAGATAACAGCAGGAAGATAAATCCTCGCAATAATAATTTGTTTTGCCCGCCAATCAAAGCGGCGATCTCAAAAGCAGCTCTGTCGTTGACAAGCGCAAGTGTTATTCAAAGTGGACAATAAAATCCCTACTTAACCAAGACCGCAATAAATGTCAGCTTGTGCAGAGTATGTTATTAGTCCTGGCCGGTCTGGCATGCAAAATATTTTGAACCGAACCAATTCGAATTCAAAGTCCCAAGTTTTGAAACCAAGCTGTGCACAAAAATCAACTGTACTGTAAGAACCTAAAACTAATTTAAGAAAAAAAAAGATTTTTTTTCAGTTATTTATATATTTATATTTATATATTTATTTATATTTATATATTTATTTATATTTATTTATATTTATATATTTATTCATAAATCGAACTGGGAGTCACCTTTCTGCTCGGCAATGAATTAATTTGTGGGTTAACAATATGTAAATTTGTATTGAAAACTTTAGCTGAAGGCTATGCGACTGTACCGGAGAACGAGTCGCTGTCCTGCAGTGCATTCGCATAAATGCATTTAGCCAACTTTTGCCATATGCTAAACAAAGGAGCTTCGACAAAAGTTGGTTACTTAAGCAGCTGGAGGGTGCGAGCTTGTCGCCGTTGCCCGATCCTGGGGCTCGTCTGGGGCGACTGCTGTGTGCTGCGTGCTGTGTGCAATAATAATGGTACATAATAAAACGCAGCAAGAGCAGTAGAAGAAGAAGAAGAAATGAT